TCTTTTTCCACGTTACGATCTCTCTGTGCCTAGCATAGAGAGAACTAAACTACTACAGAACTTCGCTGTAATCTTAGCAGCCGCCTTTCAGGCCTACGTACGACGAAGCCGAAAATAGCCAGCTCTGCAAGTCTTCGCTACTAGTCTTTAGAACATTAAGAAAGCTCTCCGCCTAAAGACATAGCTAACTATAGCAGAAGTAACTAAGTCGCTTCCTTTATACTTACGACCGTACGCCTTCCTATTTACTCTAAAGAAAGAAGACGAGCTCCCGCCTCTATAAGGCCTAGACGTTAACTATAAGATCAAACTAATTCCTAAGAACGACGGGAAGCTGCCAGAAGTCCCGTACGGACCTCTCTATAATATATCTAGAGATAAACTACTAGTACTACGTAAGATACTGTACGAGTTTACTTAAGAAAGGGTTCATCCGCGTAAGTAACTCCCCCGCCGCGTTACTAGTCCTCTTCGTACGGAAACCTAGGGGAGGACTAAGATTCTGCGTAGACTACCGCGCCCTAAATGCGCTAACTCGTAAGAACCGTTATCTACTGCCTCTTATACGGGAGACGCTAAATTAAGTTAGATAAGTAAAGTGGTATACAAAGCTTAATGTTATAGCCGCCTTTTATAAAATTTAAATTACTAAGGGCTAAGAATAGATAACTACTTTCCGCACTCGGTTTAGGTCGTACGAGTGGCTAGTTACTCCTTTTAGGCTTACTAACGCTCCTAGCACATTCCAGCGCTATATTAACTAGACGCTGCGCGAGTTTCTAGACGATTTCGCTTCCGTCTACTTAGATAATATCCTAATCTACACGGATGGCTTAATATCCTAACATTATGACCACGTACGGTAAGTAATTGAGCGTCTATAAGCTGCGGGACTACAGCTTAAACTTAAGAAGTATAAGTTTAACGTCTAACGTACGAAATACTTAGGATTTATTCTTAAAGTAGGGAAGAGCGTCTTAATAGACACGGAGAAGATAAGAGCTATTTAAGAATAGGAAGCTCTAGCTACTATACGAGACGTAAGAGAGTTTCTTAAGTTCGCTAATTTCTACCGCAGATTTATCCCTAACTTCTTAAGACTAGTAGAACCTCTCGTACGGTTAATAAGAAAAGACGCTAAATTCAAATAGGGCCGAGACCAAGAGCTAAGCTTTACCGCCCTTAAGGAAGCTTTCCTTTCTAATGAAGTGTTAGCTGCCTTCGACCTAGACAGGCGGACAGTAGTAGAGTGTAACTTATCTAGATAAGCAATAAGTGCTGTACTTCTATAAGAAGACGACGAAGGTACCCTACGTATAATAGCTTACTTCTCCTGAAAGCTACTAGTTTATAAAGCGAACTACCTAATCTACGACAAAGAGCTACTAGCGGTAATCTACTGCTTAAAAGAGTAGAACGCTAAACTATGAGGCGTATAAGAATTTGAAGTAGTTATAGACTATAAGAACCTAGAATACTTTACTTATAAGTAAAAGCTCTCTAAACGCTACGTACGATGGAACTTAGAACTAGCCCGCTTCCTAAATATGAAACTCTGCTACCGCTCTGGTAAGGAGAACGTATAGGCGGACGCCTTATCTAGGCGAGACTAAGATATGTAGAAGGACGACCTAGACGAGTATTTAGTATTAAGAGAATTTATTATACTAGTGCTAGCCCAGACCTAGAAAAGTATTATAGTTATGCCTGTACGAGACACTACCAACACTTAAGAAGATATCTCTCCCCTAGTGTCAACTACACTACCACGACTACTATATTTTCCTACGCTTATACGAGATTATTGGGATAGCGCCGCACAAGAAGATTCTCTATACTAAGAAATAAGAGCGGCTGTGTGGGAAGGAAAACGATCTCTCTCTAGCTCTTATAAGATTGCTATCTCTTTAGGCGACTGTATAATTAACGCTGAAGATAAGTTATGCTGGCGTAATAGAGTATAGGTACCTGAATGTAAACCACTTCAGATAGGAGTAATCTAAACTGCGTACCTATCTCTGCTAATAGAACACTCTAGATAAGAGGAAATATACAGAATTATCGTAAGAGAATGGTATTGGCCAAATATAAGCACTAATGTACGCCGTTACGTACAGAATTGCGAGCTATGCTAGAAAAGCACCCCCTAGAGAGATGGGAAATATAGGTACTTAAAACTATTACCCATTCCTAGTTGTACGTGGTAATATCTAACAGTCGACTTTATTACGGGTTTACCTAGCTCTTAAGGGAAAACTAATCTTATGGTAGTAAAGGACAGACTAGGTAAAGGTATTGTGCTAATCCCTATAGATAAGATCGAGATAATAGACGTCGCTTAGGCCTTCGTACGGGAAGTCTACTAGCATTATAGCCTTCTATAGTTTATTACGTCTAACCGCGGCCCCTAATTCGCCAGCTCTCTTTAGAAACAGGTCTGCTAGCTACTTAGTATCTAGAGAAATCTCTTAACAGCTTATTACCTACAGACGGACGGAACAATAGAGCGCGCTAATAGCGATATAGAAGTAGTTGTATGGATCTTCTACAACTACGATCAAGACAACTGGGTATAACTCTGCCCCCTTTTAGAACTTATACTCAACTCCCGTACGAACACGATAATAGAAGTTTCACCTTTCTTCCTACACCATAGTTACTATAACACTTCTTTCCTCTAGCTCTAAACGGTTACGCAAGCCGACGAAGTAGGAGAAGCTACAAAGAAGATTGTCTAGATGATTAGTAATACTGCTAACTAGGCTATATCTGCCATAACCTACGCCTAATAAGAATAAGAACGACAAGCTAATAAGTCCCGCAGACCAGCGCCTACCTACCGCGTAGGAGACTAGGTATAGCTAGACTTACGCGATGTACGTACGGCTAGAAGTAGTAAGAAACTTAATTAGAAAAGTGCTAAGTTCTAGGTTGCTCGCGTACAAGACTCTTACTGGGTGGAATTAGCCGTGCTATGGGAAATAAAGACTTACTATGTAGATAAGCTCCGTCCGGCGGCTAACGACCTATTCCTATCGCAGTAGACGGACGACACCAACCTAACTGCTATAGTTGTATAAGATAATGAAAATAATGAGGAACACTTAGAGTGGACAGTACGAGACATTATGGATGAGAGAATAAGGCGCAGGTAAATAGAATACCTTGTTTATTGGGTGGGCTACGACGAGCCCATATGGGAGCCCGCCGCCTATCTCGCTAACACTACGGCCCTACAGTCATGGTTGTCCTATACTTAACCTGGACGACAACCTAACGGACGACTTAGAAGAAACTGGCGAAGGTAGGCCCACCTACTCTATGAGCAGGGGGTTCTCGGCACTACCCGCAGCTGGACGACCACGCTGGTTGCCACTGCTAGGACCGTTAGGGAGCCTCTTGCGCCCACCTCCTATACGAGAGACTGCCTGCTGAGTGACACTGTAACGAGCTCTATGGTCTTGCCAGACGCAGTTAGAGCAGGCTCTACCCTACTTACCGGCGATGGACACGCAGCTAGCGAATGCGGTAAACTTCTTCTCGCCTCGCAGAATAGCGGCGCAATTGTTTGTATAAAAAGCCGCGTTGAGAGCGCCGCGGCTATGTATAATAAAGGCCTTGAGGTAGGACGGACGGCTAGTGAGAATCTGCTGAGCAGTAATAGTCGTACGTGCGATCATAGGCGAGTAGTCGCGAGGGCTCGGACTGAAGATAGCATTATACGGACTGTTGCCGCGAGGGCGACAGAAGTAGTTAAAAATACGGCGAATATCCTTCTACGCAAGTTAACACTAGCCATATAAGAAGTTAGAAAAGTATTACGTATAGGGGTAACCGTATAAATACGGCGTAGCTTATCTGCGACGCGCTGATCGAAGATAAACTAGACACGATACTCGTTTAGGTTGATAGCGCCTGGTATGTTGAAAGTTGGTAGTATAGCGCCTAGCGTCGTACGAGTTAGAGCCTAGTGGGCAGCGTTGAAGATTTAATTAGCCACGTTGTTAATAGTGTTATTGGGGCCACCGTTAGTGTAAAACTGCAAACTGTTGGTGTTTGCGTTGGCCCAAACACCGCGAGGGGGTGGTTGCGCTTTCGGCGGCATCGTACGAGTGTGGTTAGAAAGAAAAGAAGAAATCTGTGTAGTAGTGGAGTTAAATTGATTTAATATAAAGGAAGAAAAAGCTGAAGGAGAGAGATGGCAGCTCTATATATCGTACGGAGGGAGCGTTTGCTCTTGTGGAAATCCTCCTTCACTAGAGCAAACAAACGCCACTGCTCCACCGTAAGTTAGGCAGCCGCGTGCTCCTAGGAAAATAAATAAACGCAAACATGTCCGTACGAGTGGAGGAGGGGAGTATTGTAAAGGGCTGCGCCCGTGATCTCTACTAAAGAGGATCACGTGATCTTCGACCACGTGATATACCTTCTGTACGGACACGTGATTAGAAGCGAGTAGGTATAAGAGAAGTCTGTACTTAGTTATCTTCTCTTTTTCTTATCTTTTAGCTTCTGTATGATAGGTAGAAGCATACTCATTCGCTAGGCCTCTCCGCCTATAATAGTAATAGATAGATAAATTGTTTAGAGATTGGTGGACTAAAGAATCCGAGTATCGTGTGTAACGATGTTACAACTTCGCCATGTATCGGACCAATCCCAGAGCCGGATCGGAGGTAGTACTCGCCGCCCTCTTCATCAACCACTCGTTGTGAGGTCGGATCCGATTCGGATCCGACTAAGATAAGTATATAAGGAGACACTCCCTGTAGCTAGCTCTGTAGACTTTTGATATCCTTTCGTACAAGGCCTATAGGTGTCTATTCGAATCAAGGCTCGTTTGATGTCCCACGCACTCCCATATGCCTCTGAGTGACACTACCGCCGATACTGATCCGAGTAGTCTTGCCTGCGCCGTTACATTATATCAAAAGTCTCGTCCCAGCCGGTGACGGCTTCAAAACAATATCGCAGCTGTCTGTTCAGACTACGTCCAACCTCAAGTTATCCGGCACCGATCCGGATACTTACACCGTCACATCTGACATTCACCTAGGCAGGATCCCACTGATCTCC